CTTGCACATATGAGCGGGCACTCAGCCGGATATGGATTAGTAAAGTAGTTACTTATCACCTACCTAACACCACATCTGCCCGTGCACTGCTTTCACTTATAACTGGTTAAGCGGATGGGAAGTTTTGCTTTTGTCCATGCAATAATCATCCACTTAGGGCTATAGAGGGACTAAGGGCCATACAGGTACTTAGAGCTATAGAGGTACTTAGCTATATAGGTACTCAGAGCCATATAGGTACTCAGAGCCATATAGGTACTCAGAGCCATATAGGTACTCAGAGCCATATAGGTACTCAGAGCCATATAGGTACTTAGTTATATAGATACTTAGAACCATCAAGGTACTCAAACCCACAATAGTACTTATACTTGAAAACTGGACCACTATTGTGTTTCTACTACAAGCTCTATAAAATAACTTCCTCTTACAACTCAGGCTTCTACACACAAGAAGATTTCCCAGCATTTAAGATGAGACACGCAACTATAGCCTCCCTCTTTCTTTACGCTGCAAGCCTTATTTGTGCAGCTTCAATTCCTGGAAATGCCCCAGGCAATGCGGTAGGCTTGGTAGAGAGGGGAGAACAGGTATAACCACCATGCTAAATCCTCTTAGCACGTAGCAAAGCTAACATCTAAAGTAGTGTCATAAAGACCGATATTGGGAATGGGAGACGTGCTACAATAATAATTCATGCTCAAAACATGAAAAATGGTATAAATGCTCAGCACAAACTGCGAATTACAACAAATGCCCACAAGATATGGCCAAATGCGTATGTAGCCCGTGCAAGTGTTTACAAGAAAAATACTAACAAACTTTGTAGGGTGCCGATTGTTGCAGATACTGTCATATTACTAAAGAAAGTTATGGGGTTGCATGCTAGACTAGATCAATTCATAGAAGATGAATCCGATATAGATTAAGGCTATGAAAACAATGGATGGAGAGGAAATTCAAAAGACGTGTAGTGGAAAATGCTAGGTCCTACTTATGAACGGAGACTAGCCAACAGCCAAGATAGGCAAAAACACTGATTGAACTACTTGTGTAAGATTTGTTATCATCTGCACTAAAGCCGACATTTTAGAAAAGATATGATATTAGTGAGATATTGGAGCGTTAGGGTCTGATAGCCTCTATTCATACACTTCTCGCGATGATCTCTTAATAGTGATTATTGTGTTTCAAGTGTGAAAGCTTGCACTCTAATTTCTTCTAGATCTACCGTTTACGTAGGTTATAAAGTATTCTTCTTTTACTGATTCCTAAGAACACCTAAGATGTCTTTGAACTTCGGACTGATCGATTTACAGGTGAGACGGGCCACTGAGCACTCATTGATGGTATGCGTGGTCTATGTCTACCCTATTCGAGCTAGCTACTTGATGATTATGAGGAATGTAGGCGTTGCACCATCCCTTGGAGGGTTGACGCGACGTTTAGGGGTAGGAGGCGCGACCCACGAGATGCTGGGCGCGACCTACCTGTATACAACTACATCAAGGAAGATATTAGTAAAACCTTTGCATACCTTGATTTCCCATACTTTACTATAAGCCGCAAGATTACCTCCAACAAGGAGCTCTTCTTGACGCACTCAAAAAAAGGGCAAAGATTAACACTCTTAGACTACCTCGTGGAATATATATGGCGGGAAATTGTGGTTGCGACGGATAGCATGGATATACTAATCCTTATCCTGTGGGTGACCCAGCATAGGCTTTATCTAGGGTAAACTACCGGTAACTCATTTAAGATGCGTTATGTACATATAATTGGGAAAACTAACCTCCCCCTCCTCGCAGTG